GCTATTCTTTGCTTGCAGCTGTCATTGTTGTTTGGCGGGCCCAGGCTGGATTCAAACCTGCCAGCTCAGGTGTATGTGGCTGGCGCCTTAGCTGCTTTGAGCCACAGGTGGCAAGCCCAGAATGTATTTTTTCTTATTCATTGTTAGACTGACTCTCATTTAGCGTTCACCTTCATGAATAAGATTGATCTATATTTTTTCTTTCTCATTCTGTCTTTGATTGATTTTGGTACCAAGATTGCATTAGTCTCACAGAACAAAGAAAGGAATAGTCTTTTTTGTCCTTTTTTTTTTTTTTTTGCAGTTTTGGGCGGGGTGGGGCTCGAACCTGCCACCCCAGGTATATGGGGCCGGCACCTTTTGTCCTATTTTTGGAAGAATTTGTGAAAGACTAAAAGAATTTGTTCCTTGAAATTTTTTTTTCTTTTTTTTTTGAGACAGAGACTCAAGCTGTCGCCCTGGATAGAGTGCCGTGGCATCACAGCTCACAGCAACTCCAACTCCTGGGCTCAAGCTATTCTCCTGCCAAGTAGCTGGGGCCACAGGTGCCCACCACAACGCCCGGCTATTTTTTGGTTCTAGTTGTCATTGTTTGGCGGGCCCAGGCTGGATTCGAACCCGCCAGCTCTGGTGTATGTGGCTGGCACCTTAGCTGCTTGAGCTACAGGCACTGAGCCTCCTTACAAGTTTTGTAGGACTTACCTGTAATATCATTTAGGTCTGGAGTATTTCTTATGTGTATATAACAAATATGCAAAAATGTGTAAAGTATGTAAATTATCAGCTCACTTAATTGTTAGAACATAAATTGCCTATAACTGCCACTCTACCAGGCCAAGACATGAACCATTACCAGCACATGGGAGATGCTTTCTAATCATAACCCTCCCTGTCCCCCAGGCATAATTTTTTTTTTTTTTTTGGAGACAGATCTCACTATGTCACCGTAGGTAGAATGTCGTAGCGTCACAAGTCACTGCAACCTCCAACTCTTGGGCTTAAGTGATTCTCTTGCCTCAGCCTCCCAGGTAGCTGAGACTACAGGCTCCCAACACAATGCCCATCTATTTTTGTTGTTGTTGTAGCTGTCATTGGTGTTTAGCAGACCTGGCTGGGTTCGAACCCTTTAACCCCAATGTATGTGGCTTTATGTGGCCAGCGCTCTAGCCACTGAGCTATGGGTGCTGAGCTCCTAGGGGTAATTATTATCCTGGTCTTCTTGATAGTCTCTCTTCTTGGCTTTTCTCTAAAATTTTACTAATTATACAACCATTAAGATACAGTTTAACATAGCCTGTTTTTAATTTTAGGTAAACTGAATGATAATACTCCATAATTTCTTCAGCTTGTTTCACTCAACATTATCTTTATGATTCAATCATCTTGTTGTATATACAGAGGGTGCCAAAAAAGGTATACATATTTTAAGAAAGGAAAAAACTGTATTAAAGTTATAACACTCAATATGTATTGATAACAAAAGATGAATACCAGTCACATTGAGCACCTGTAATTGCAGACATCAAATGTGACTTGAGTATTACAAATTTAATAGTTTTTCCCTTTCTTAAAATGTGTTTACATTTTTTTCACCCTCTGTATATATTTTGGTATATAATATATAATATACCAAATGTGTGTCTTTTCATGGTTGTATGAATATACCATAATTTATTTATGACATTGGACATATGGATTTTTCCAGTTTTGCAATATTATGAATGATGGTCCTATTCAGTTCCTTATACTTCTGTTCTGGTGCACATAAGCGCAGGTTTCTGCATGGCATATACCTCAGACCATGGTATTCCAGGTCACAGGTATGTCTGTTTTCCTCTTTTTAAAAAAAACCTGCGTGTCAGTTTCCACTTCCATCAGAAGTGTCTGATAGTTTACATGGCTCCATATCCTTGCCATCACTTACTACTGTGAGACATTCACATTTTTGATGATCTGCAGTGGTATTTCAATGGTTTACTAATGAGGCTGAGCACTTTTTCAAATGTTTATTAGGCATTTGAATTTTCTCTACTGTGAAGTGCCAGTTTAGTTTTTTCGGTTCTTTGGTCAACTTTATACATTCAAGAAATGAGTCATTTGTCAAGTCCATTATATCCTTTCTCATTCTATAGTTGGTCTTTTCCTTCTGTTATTTTCTTTAAGGAAATTTTTATTGCTCAATTTTTAACATAGTTACAGGACTACTCAGGATTTCCATTTCTACTTGAATCAGTATTGACAAGTTATTTTTTTTTTTTTAAGAGGGAGCCTCAAGCTATCCCCCTGGGTAGAGTGCCATGGCATCATGCTCACAGCAACCTCCAACTCCTGGGCTCAAGCGAGTCTCCTGCCTCAGCCTCCCAAGTAGCTGGGACTACAGGCGCCCGCCACAATGCCTGGCCATTTTTTGGTTGCAGCCGTCATTGTTGTTTGGTGGGCCCGGGCTGGGGATTCGAACCCACCACCATAGGTGTATGTGGCTGGCGTCTTAGCCGCTTGAGCCACAGGCACCGAGCTGACAAGTTATATTTTTAAAAGAATTTCCCTTTATGTATGTATTGTCAACATTTTCAAATTTACCAGTATATGATTCCTCATAATAGTGACTTACAAGATTTTAAAGCACTGCTATATTATCTTTCTTGTTCCTGATGTTATTTGCCCCTTCTCTCTCTTATTCTTGATCAGTGTCTATTCTAGAGGCTTGTCTATCAGTCTTTCCTAAGAACCATTTTTTGGTTCTTTTATCTTTTAAAATGTATCTCTACATCTCATTCATTGATTTCTGCTTTTTTATTGCCTCCTTTCTCAAACTTTCTTTGGATTTACTCTGTTGTTCTTTTTATAACTCCTTAGTTAAATATTTAGTCATTAATTTGCAGCCTTTCTCCCTTCCAATATAAGCACTTGCGCTTTTCTGGACGTAGTTACTACTTTCCCTTTATCCCACACATTTTGCACATATTTCATTATCATTCACTTTCAAGTATTTTAAAATTTCTATTTTGATTTCATCTCTGGTCTATAAGTTATTTAGAAATAAGTTTTTAAATTTCCAAATGAATGGAAATTTAACATTTATTTTTTGTTATTAATTTCTAACTCAGGCTCGGTGCCTGTGGCTCAAGTGGCTAAGGCGCCAACCACATACACCTGAGGTGGTGGGTCAAAATCCAGCCAGGGCCTGCCAAACAACAATGACAGCTGCAACCAAAAAATAGCCGGGCATTGTGGCAGGTGCCTGTAGTCCCAGTTACTAGGGAGGCTAAGGCAGGAGAATCACTTGAGCCCAGGAGTTAGAGGTTGCTGTGAGTGGTGATGCCACAGCACTCTACCCAGGGTGACAGCTTGAGGCTCTGTCTCAAAAAAAAAAAAATTTCTAACTCAATTGCATTGTAATCAGAAAGTCTGGTCTGTAAGATTCTCACATATATTTATGATTTTAACTTGGAAATTCCTTTGAGAGTCTAAGTCTGCTATCTGTTGTTTCAGTTGACTCTTATGGTGGTGTACATGTTTGGTGATCTATGTCAATTCACATTTCCCTGACCTTAGTCTGTGGGAAGGCTGTCCACACTGGGGACACTTTCCTCCCAAGAGGCTTCATATCTGCTTGTGCTGTGAACCAGGGACACTATCAACCCAAGATCCATCCCTTCGGGTGTTCTGCCTTAAGGCAGAGATTCACAGTTGTTAGTCCCAAAAGATTCACTTTAGGTTAATCCATACAAAACTGTCACTTTTTGAGGGCCAAATAGCATATCAACAATTGTATGTGGTCCAACCTATACTCTAACTTTTGCTGCAGACAAGCCCGTTCTTCCTGTTTGCTTACTCTTTACCTCTCCTGGCTAGTTTGGGCTCAGTGTTCCTCCCCCCTCCATTTTTTTAGTGGAGGAGGTGGCTTTGGAGATTTCCCCAATTTCCTATTAGCCCAGAAAGCACTCAAAATTATATTTTACTCAGATGTGAATTAATTTGCAGAGCTATTTTGCAAAGAGGTGCTAGGAGTAGCCATGACAATTGCTAGAAGCTAAATCTCAGGTTAGGTATATTTTTCCCAGTGAGGAAACCAGAGCTCCAAGCAGTGGAATGACTTACCCAAGGTCACGCAGCTAGGACTTAATAGGCAGGGCTGGACTCGAACCACACAGGGCACTAGAAACTGAGAGTCTTTATACTTTGTCCTATGCTGCCTTCAGAGAGCTACTGGGGCATGGGAATTACCAGGTGTCCTTACCTGGTGCAGGGGGATGACGAGGAAGGCCCCCCCGCCAGCACACTCAGTCACAACTGCAATGAAGTGGGGGTTCACGGCACAGAAGTGATTGTCGTGAACGCTGCGGGTGATGGGCACTGAGTCATAGCAGTTCTCCTTGCTGGCTGGTTTGCCAAAGACGTGGCGGAACTTGGAGCTCCGGTACTGGGGGTGCCATGACATCTGTGGGAGACAAGCAGGAAGAAGGTGTGAAGCTCACCGCCCTGATCCTGAGATGCACGGAGAGCTCACCTGGACAGTACAGCAGAGGGCACGAGTGGGACGGCCATCAGCTCTACATGGACAGTGATGTGCAATGAAGGGTGACCAAGTAACAGGTTATAATTGTGGTTATTTCTAAAGAGCCTGTGAGATGAGGCGGGATGGGGTATAAACACCGCTAATCCATTTGGGGATGTTTTAAGGCTTTTCATCCTCCTGAGCGTGAACACAAAAAGTCAGAAAACACTGAGAGAACTCACCACATTCCTCCGCTCCCTGCCATCTCACCAGACAGCCCCACACCCCCGGCCCCTCGGCCTGACTAAGTGGGTGACAATGTGTTCTCTGGAGCCAGCCTGCCGGCTCCAGTTCCGCCATTGTCTCTTCTGAGGGGGATGGCAAGTGACTTAGGGTCTAAAGTCTCCATTTTCTTGTCTGTAAGATGAAATGACAAAAGTATCTGTCTCCCAGACTTGTCATGAGGATTAAATCAGATATGTTTAGTCTCCTTGGCACACGGTGGATACACGATCACCGGGCGCAATCACTACCACTGTCACTACTATCATCCAGGCATCTTGGCGTCCTGTGCTCCTCGTCCAGCCTTCTATTTGTTCACTCAATATTTACCGAGCATCACTGTGTGTCTAGGCCCTGTGCCAGGCCCTGGGGAGTTTGGAAACCGTGAAGCCACACCTAGCCCTCGCTGGAGTGGAGAGTCCTGTGGGTAAGGTGACTAGGGGAGTCTGGGAGGGATTCCTGGAAGAAGTGACTCTTACCCTGTGATTTAAAGGATGAATAGGAATCGGTCACGTAGGCAGGACAAAGGAGGGCTGAAGGATGGTGCCCTAGGCAGCTGGAACAACCTGAGCAAAGGCCCTGAGGCAGAAGCAAATACTGTTTGGGGAGCCACGTGTGGTTTGGTAAGATTAGTAAGGAGATATTAAAAAGGAAAATATAAATATATATATATATTTTCATATCACACACATGCATAAAACATATAAATCAGGTAATGTGAGAAGTGGGGAGAACGCAAGCTGGAGGGGTGAGTGGAGGCAGATTGTAAACAGCCTGTGAGACTCAAGGCCTCCCTGGTGGCCAAAAGCACAGGGCTTCCTCCTGGCCAGAAGGCCCTTGTGAATGCCACACCTGGCTGTGTTCCTCACCCCCCTGCCCTGCCTCCTATCACCTGGGATGCTTCCAGTCATTGCTGCCTTGCAGGATCAAGGCCAATCCTTAGCCTGGCATTGAAGGCCTTCTGGCTGGGTCTCATGCTGGGTTCCAAGCTCCATTTCTTCCTGCTCACCTACATGGCACCTCCGGTTGCATCTCCAGTTCTCTGGCTCTTTGCCTTTTCCACTTAATTTAGCTTGCCCTTCCCATTCCCTGCCTCCTATTCTTGGCTCCACCAATCCAAATCCTCCCCTTCCCCAGCCTCTAAGCCACCTACTCCAGAGAGTTCTTCTTGATACCCTCAGTAGCAGAGATCTCACTCTGCTCCCTGCCCTCAGCCCCTGACCCTAGCTATCCCGATTTGGGGTCTGGTGTCAGTTCTCGTCTTCTTCATCACTTTGCAGCTTCCTTGGAGAGGCCTGGGGCTCTGCTGGGGGAGGGCTCACCATGTCTGTCCATCTCAGGCCCCCACAACTACTCATGGGTCGGTGTGTGTGGCTGTGCCCGACACCAGTCAAAACAAAGGAGGTGCCTTCTCCCCCACCCCCTTACCTCCAGGAGGCCAGAGTGAGGCTCTTCTCTGTGCTCAGTTCCTAGGCACAAGATCGGGCTGTGTGACTGCAGGCAGGTCGCAGTGATCAGGGGCCTGACCCTTAAGCCAAGCCCTGCTCACAGCACCAGGTAGTGCATCAGGGGCACATTTATCCTGTGATGCTCAGATATTTCAACTCCCCTTTCGGGAGCTTTGCCCAGAATCCTGGCTACATGTGCCAGAGCTACAGGAAATAGCACAGAATGCAGGGATGGACTAATTAATGCTCATCTGATCCTACAAAAGACTTAAGAAGACTTTGCAGAAATTGAGAGGACATAAGACAGAGGAAATACTGGGAAAGCCAGGGCCAAAGCAACAGGGACGGAGGAAAAATGGAGATAAAAAGAAATCACCTGATTTGAGGTAGGGGAGGGGGTTAAGCTACCGACAGCATAAAGCCAGGTCCTCCACACAGAGGAGGGAGACCTCAGATTTGCTGCCAAGCTTCCCAGTGGCCAATGCAACAAGGGAAGCAGATCAGAAAGGGATTTAGTCAGTGTTTGTAAGATAAAAGCCACCCGTTGCTAAGGAGCAGCACACCTTTTCTCCATCCTGGGTCCTGAGAGAAGTGGGTACTGGGGGTCCTCTAGGAAAGGAGCAGCAGGAACAATGCCCTCCTTAGGGTCTCGGCAAGTACGTGGCAGCTGAGGAGCTGCCTTGGGCCTGGGCTGGGAGCAGGATGTAGGCAGCAATCAGCAGGCTTCACTCCAGGCCCCACCCCCACCCCACTTTGAACAGGTGGGGGAAGGGCACCGATGGGGGTGCCTGTCACACACTCCATGGCTTCCCTCATGCCCAGCCCCCTGTAGTTAGGCAGCCATAGCATTAGTTCTGGCCAATGGGCCATGGAGGAAGCAATGTCTGTCACTGCCAGGCTGAAGCATGCCAGACCTGCCTGTGACCCTCTGGAACTCTAGTCTTTGGCTAAGGAAGGAGGAGGGCACCGTTTCAGATGGTGCAGCTCCATAGCAGTGGGCACCTGAGGGACTGTGTGGAGCACAGTGCCTCCCTCAACTGACATACCATGTGACAGAGGAGGGCCCTCCGAGAAACGGGGCTGCTTGTCACAGAGCACAGCCTACCCATCCTGCCTAACACACTGCTCCATGCAGGTCCAGCCCACGCAGATGGCAAGTGGCTGCTGCCCGTGCTGGTATAGCCAGAGAGAAGGAGGCAGGACCCAGATCCCCTCGGGAACTTGGACTCTGAGGGTAACTGGGAGTGGCCGAGTAAAGCAGGGGAGAGAAAGGATCAGATTCAACTTTCAGATGGATTTCTCTGAGTACTGGAGGAATAGTCACCATGGCTAAAGTCAGGCAGTGAGGTAGACAGGGGACAAGGAATGTTAGTGAAATACCAAGAGGTGGGATCAACCAGACTCTGGGCCTGAGTGCACATGGTGGGCTGTGGGGCGAAGGGCCAGGCATGGCTGCTGAAATTGATGCAACCCCACATCATTAACAGTCCTGGCTCCTCCCAGCACTCTCCTTCCCCAGCCTGTCTGCACAGCTGAGGGGACTCCTAGGGCCTGGCCTGACACCTGAGGCCAGCTCCTGGCCCCAAAGATGTCTAGAGGCCATGAGAGGCCTGGTAACAACCCTCCTGGAGCTCACAGTCACCTATACTGCAATAGGAACTCGGGTTTGGGTGCTCGTGGTGTGCCATTCTAAGCGCTTTCTGTGTATGAACACAGTAGGTAGGTGCTACCTTGCTCCCCAGTGCAGAAACGGGGAGAAAAGGCCAGTCACTAGGTCCCACAGCTAGTGAATGGGAGGCCCAGGGCCTGAGCCTCCAGCTCCAGGTTTCTAAAGGTCATTACCGGATGACAACAGCTCTTTCACAGCCTTCACATCTCCATCTCACCTCAGCCCTTACAGGCAAATGTCACCATTATCACTCCCACAGGGAAGGAAATGAGCCCCAGGAACCTAAGTGGACCCCTCTGGGAAGGGGGCTGTTGATCTCCATGGATGAAGGAAGCCGTCAGGCCTTGGAACAGCACAAACATTAATGCCCTCTGCCTCACCCTTCCACACTACTATCCTTTCCCTACCCCAGCCCTTATCTCCACTGCCAAGGTTCTTCCAGACCTGCCAAGAAAGGAAAATTGGGCACAGTATGGGAGTCTGCGTGCAGCTGCATTGGTAAAGCTTATGCACGGGTGTTGGCCCATGTGTGCACGTCTCTGCCCAAGGCCTGCATTCACCCGGATCACGAGTGCTGTGTCCTCACATGAGTGTGCACATGTGTGTGCACCTGTTTGGGTATTTACCTGAGGCTGCGTATACACATGCGCATGAGCCAATGTGCGTTAGTGTGTGCACGCTTTAATGACTCAGCAACCAGAGAACAGGAGTTTCATTTTCCCTACAGGCAGGCACTTGCCTGCAAGTAAGTACTGTAGCAGGTCCCTCACCCATGGGCGAGGCCTGAATGGCCTATTGGAGCCAGCTCTATCCCAGGCCACCAGTCCCATCCTGCCCCATCCCATCTGGCTGGGCCTACATCAAAGCCACTCTGAACCGACTGGGTAACTTCTTGCTATGGAACTCTGGCCCAGCCTGCTGGGGCACAAAGCAGGGGGTGGCATTGGCTCTGCCACTGCGATCCCATGCATGCTTAGTGGGCCTGTGCCATGGGATTAGGCTCCGGGGACTGTGATTTCCCCACCCCTGAAAAGGATGTAGTCATCTCTGGCTTTAACATCATACTGGTTTTATTTCTTCTTGCCTGACAGTGGCTTTCTGCCTGTGCCAGCTCTTGCAACTCTCCTCTGAGGTAGGCGGGATTTTACTGTCTGAGGATGGGAAAACTGAGGTGCAAGGGAAGCGACTTGACCAAAATCAGATTAGTATGAACAGAGCAGGTGGGAAGTGGAGGCTGAGTCCTGGTCCAGAGACATCCTTCCTGCTGTGCCACCTGTCCCTCTCTGATACACAAGTGTGTTGTTGTTGTCGTGTGTGTGTGTGTGTGTGTGTCAGAGAGAGGCAGAGATTTTCCTGTCTGCTCCCAAAGGCCCCTCTTAGTAAATACTTAGCAAATGAGTTCATCCTGCCCTAAAATCATTGCAGGACAAGGGTTAGGTGCACAGTGGCCGAAACTGAGCCCAAACTGGGTGTGGTACAGAGGACCATATAGATTATTCATTAATTGCACTGTTCGTGGCCTCAGGGAAAGAATGAAACTACCT